AGCATATTCTTCAGATAAAAATAAGTAAAAAAGTTCGTACAAATGTATATCGTAAAATGCTTAATTTCTGAGATATAGGGTGTAGAAGTTTCATTTTTATTTCGATTTTTCACAAATAATTTCTGAAGGAACGTCAATATTCGGATGAAAATTAGTGTCTGGGAGTTTTTTGACATGAGAAATTTGATTTTGATATCAATATGGCTTCTACTTGTACAGGGCGCCACCTACATATTTTTTGACTGATTTAAAGAGTAATTAATTTTAGTCCGCACCTGTATAAAACTACTGAGTAAAATATACATTTACGACATTTTTTACGTAAAAAGGTCTCTTGGGAAAATCGCTACAAGTAATGGTTCTCGAGGTATTTGGAATCGAAATTACCAATACCTGTCATCATTGACATAAATTAAACACGTTGACTAAATATTTATTAGACTGAAATAAATTTCAAATATTTTTGTGCCTAAAGCTGAAAAGAAACTGTTTTATCATCATTTCTTCGCAGAAAAGTTTATGATTATTTTAAATAATAAAAATTTCCCGAATTTATTATTTCAGTCAAAAAAGTAAACAGTCACGAAAATGTATATTTTTTCACTCAGTAGGTTTATACAGGTACGGACAAAAAGTTATTACTCTTCAAAATAGTTAAAATACATGTAAATGATGCCCCCTACAAATAGGAGTCATATTGACTTCAAAATCAAATTTCTTATGTCAAAAAACTCCCAGACAACAATTTTCATCCAAATATTTTTATCGTTACTTCAGAAATTATTTGGAAAATATCTAAATGAAAATGAAACTTCTACACCCTGTATCTCCGAAACTAAGCCATTTTAGGACATACATTTATACGAACTTTTTTACTTATTTTTATCTGCAGAATATGCTGCTGAAGTTTCTGGAATACAGTTTGGACCACCCTGTATATTCCGGCGAAGCACCCAAGGCCTTTAAAGAACAATTTTATATTAAATAATTACTACTGTAAAAAAATATACATTATTTACTAAGAATATAATTTTTATTATTATTTTAATTTAATTTCTGTTTCTAAAAAAAATGCAAAAATTTCTTTTCTAAGTTACTAATAGTATTTTAACGTCTTTAATTATCCTTATTCATTTCCCAAATTAATTAACAACGATAAATTATTACCCTGATAATATAATTATCATGCTGCACGTACAAAACAAGACTCCGCTCTAAAAGGCAACAAAGTAGAAGACACAACCGGGCGAATTGCTAGAGAAAAGGACACGAAAGGGACTCTTTCAGCCTAGATCACGTTCGGCCTCTATCGCGCTACCGGGAAATATTTAAAACTTTGTTGTTCCGGAATGGGATACCTGGTCTAGATGGAGCCAGGATAGAGCCAAATTAAAGCACACCAATGCTAATTAAGAGGGGGAATAGAGGGGGAGGGGAATGTTGGTACGTGATGGGTCGGAGTAAACGAGGCAGAGTTTTAATTGTCGCGCAGATGGCGTGGTGTTTGAGCTAGTAAAAATGCAATTTGTTGTTGAGTTCAAGGGGAAGAGATATAAAAGTGTCGTTTGAAAGCCCAGCGGGTTTACTTTAAGTATACAGGGGAATATAAATATAATAAGGAAGAGGTTACATTGAATCTGAAAAAAAATTGTAAGAATTTGTAAGACAATTGTGAAAACTTTTGGCGCTTATGTTTTCAGTTTTAGTAGAGAAAGACAAATAATGCAAAGTGTATATTTTTTTTGTTTTCCATATTAAACGTATTTTATAAGATACTTGTT